AGAGAGAGAGAGAGAGAGAGAGGGAAAGAGTTGAGAGAAAGATAAAAATAGATAGAGTAACGAGAGAAAGAGTGAAAAAGAAGAAAAAGGTCGACCGGTTATAATGGATATGAACTTACTGTGTGCCGTCAGCTTGATTATGACGGAATCCGTGCCGAAGCTATTCGTGACCGTGCAGTTGTAATCCCCGAAGTACGTGGATGTGGGTTCGAGCAGTGTGACAGTGCTGACGACTCTCTCGGCGGTGTATTCCTCCTGCACGGAAAACTGCGTATTGTTCGTCGAGAGATTGAACTCGCGACCGGCGAAGCTCCATACCACCGAGTCCGCTTTTGGCACAGATATCGCGGTACACTTCACCTGCGAAATCGAGGAAGGCAACGGTCGAATAAAAAAAGAAAAAAGAAAAAAAAAAAAAAGAAAAGGCCTCCGCTTGCCCCCTTCGCCGAATCGACCAACCGTCACCAACCGTGTGTACGATACGCTTTTTAAAACCGTCGCGTAACGTGTATATATATATATCGTATATCGACGAGGGAGAGGGGCGAAAAAAATGAAGAATAAGGGAGTTGTGGAAAAAAAAAGTGGAAAACACGGTTAGTCGATCGTCATATTCGTCCTATACGTTTCCTATTCATCGGACTAGTTCAAATTCCGTGGAAAAATAGCAGCTGTTTTTTTGCACCGTTGTTCTAAACCATTTGTTATGTAGATTTCGCCCACTCCTATTTCGATTTTCGTAGACCTAGCGATTCGGTCGCGGTTCTCGCGTTATTTTCCATAAATGCCTCGTTACGAGTCCCCCCCCCCCTACAGCAGGGCAGAGTTACGACCCATGCTGTAAATCGGCGCGCTCGTCGAAAACCAGGAACAATAAGGAGAAATAATACGTCGTTTTTTCGATCGACACCGACTTTTGAAAGTCGAAGCTCGTTCAACGACCGACAACAGATACGAACCGGTTCGTGAAAAGAGAAGGGGGAGAGCAAGGGGAGGACAGTAAAGAGAATAAAAGAAAGATTGCTCCCGAGAGGGAGGAAAATTACCTTGACGGCACCCTCGTCGGGCACGTATTGCACCCTCTGCGACACGATACTCGGCGGAGCCCGGATGTAGATATTCGCGTAGCCCATCAACTCCTGGAAACCGGTACGTGCGCCTTGCAGAAATAGCGTCCGGCCGTCTCGTGGTTCACCACCACGCTGATGTTAGGCGTGCTTGCCACTTGCCGCTCCGAATCCTCGTGGTACCAGCGGATCTCAGGCGTCGGGTTCCCGTCAACGTCGCACTGCAAGATCTCCGTGGCGCCGTACTGGGTCTCCACGGAGATCGGCTGGTGCCGGAACTGTGGCCCGTCTGTGAAATTTTCATTTTCACCTCGCGCTCTGACGGATCTCTCTGTAGGATTGCTCGATTCGAGACAATAATCGATCGAATAATCGCTACTTTACACGCGGAGAAGAACGATTGTTTACGAGTGAAATTCCAAGTCTATTCTTTTGCGCGGCCATTTTTTCAACGTAGTGTTCAACGCTACGCGTATCGCGGGAGAGGTGTACATAAATCGCGAAGAAGAAGCATCTCGGCAAAATATGCCGGCAAATTCTGCCCCTTAAGAAGTCCAATTTATCGTCTGGCCTCCTCTCTGGCTTTTGACAAGCGTTATCCTCGAATTTCGCTGATGCCCGGCTACGGGTATATCCGCCGCTAAATAACGCGACGAAACGGCGTCGAAGCATCCTTCCGGGCGGACGAATGGGATAAGGAGAGGTCGAGTCAGCGAATATTAACCCCTTGCTTTCGTTCCGTACACGAGGAATCGCACACGATTCTTGCGACTACGAGTCGTTCCTTCTGATTCCTTTCTTTTTGCGATTCAAAAAAGTTGATTTTTTGAACCCCCGTTTTTCTTCCTATACTCACACGTTATGTCCAGAGTTTCGGTGTCCTCGCTCTTCCCGACGTCGTTGTGAACCTCGCACTTTACTATCGCATCGTGAAGATCTCGGGTCGCGTTGTGGATGATCATCTCCGTGGTGTAGTCGCCGATCACCTTCTTCTCATTAATGAACCACCTAAAGAAAAAGGGGGGGAGGAGGATGAAAAAAAAAGAGAAAAGAACGATTGAATCCTCGTCGAGCGTGCAATTGCCGCATAATTTGCACAGTTGTTGCGCAAAAACTAAACCTGATCGCTATCCGACCGATCGAACGAAAAAAGTTTGAGCGATAATTACGCATTTTTTTTTTACTTTTACCCCCTCAGATTCCGCAAATTCTCCTTCGCTCGGCTCTTTCGCTTCCACCCATTTCCATCAATTTTCCTTCTCCTTTTTAATCTCTCGACGATCGCCTCTTCCTTTTCCTTGTAACGCGGACCCGCGATTCTACTCGGTCATTTTTCAGATTCGATCGAACCGAGCCACAAAGAGCGAAGGAAAACGCGAGAACGATAATCTTGGTCGAATTAGTGGCCGATTCCTTTAGAAACGATCCTTCCAGAGAGATGCTGGTTTACGTTCTTCGATTCATCTCGCTCGGTTCGCCGGTACAATCGATGAAAGAGCGACGAGAATCTCTTTGGATGGCAATAAATGAGAGAAAGAGAGAGAGAGAGAGAGAGAGCGCGAGCGGGCCTCTTTCAGCCTCGGTCGAATCGCGTGTTCACATACGTTATCGAAGGACAGGAGAAACAGAATGAAACGATCACGAAACTTTCCCGAAATCTCTCCGTGAATCTCGAAGAAAAGGATCTTGGCTCTTTTTCTCCAAGTCGTCGCTAATAGCATTCCAGATCTCTCGCGCGACTCCTTTACTCGTGGCTTTTATTATTCTCACGGAATTACGCGTCGTAGAAACTTGGCTCGTAAACGGTTGGAACGGTTATCCATTGGACTTTTACGGTTTCGATTTCCGTAAGAAAGATCGACGAGAGCTTTATCGAGAGTCGATCCTTAAATCGAATCTTCGACTCTTCTATTCTCGCATTCGTTTATCCCCGAATCGCGCGGATGCGAAATCATCCCTGGTGTTCCCTTTCGCTTTCGTTTCGAGATCTCCGTTTCGTCAGAGTGGACGAACGGTGCACGATGATACACTCAACTATATGTGTGTGTGTGTGTGTGTGCACGCGCGCGTCGGTTCGTGCACGGAGAGATCGCGAGGCCATCGAAACGGGCAACAAGACAACGCGTAACGCGACGCATGACATTGTCCTAAACTTTACATTGTTCTCCCTTTGTAACGAGAATCAATTATTTGCTTGCTCCGTGCCACGACCGATTACTTGCTAATTCTCCTTTTGTTTCCGCCCGTCCCACGGCCCGCTCTTCTATAAAGCGACGCTTCCAACCGTTCTCCCTCCTCCTCTTCCCGCCATCGTTAAAAACGCACGAATCAAGCATTCTCTGACCCGGTAAAATCCCTGACCACGCGCTTTTCCTTTTTCCTTTTTCCTCCTTCGCTCTTCCCGATCCTATCCGATAGAGTCTGGACGACACGTGTTTCCCCTCCTCCCCTCTTCTTTCGTGTAAAAAACGAGAGGATTAAAATGCATGGAGGGATAGATGAAAAAAAAGGAAAAATTCCCCTTACCTCGAAGGGGAGGGTAAAAGAGCCGTGAACAAAGGATCGATGAATGAAAAAGAGAGTGCGAGTATCGGCGAGGCGAATAACCGCGGTTTTCATGAATCATGCCCAAGGGTGATCCCATCTTTTCGAATTTTTCGCTTGGCCAGGCTGCGCCTGAAAACGGAATATTCCTTTTTTTTTTTTTTTTTTTTTAAATTCGAACCTACTACGAATTGGAACATATCCCTACGAGGAAAGAACTCTTTTCCATTTCCATCGCGTCTCTCTATCTCTCTGCTCATCCCGTATCATCGTATTCGTCGGCACGCAACCATGAAACAACCACCGACACCGACACCTGGCCACACGCTCCTGAAAACAACGCTCCGAATTCGTCGCTCTTGTATCGGGCTATCGATCATCGCGGCCTATCGTCCGTCCTCTCCCCTCTCTCCCCGACGTGGAGGGGGTTTATAGAACGCGAGGCGATGTTACACACCTGTACTCGACGTTCGGCGGGTTCGCCTCCGCGCGACACTTGAAGCGTAGCTCGCTGCCCTCCACGATCCGTCCGTTCTTGCCCAGCCCCGACCGGATCCTCAGAGACACTTTTGGCGCGTAGCGGACCTGAAACAGAAGAGATCGAATTCGAAAGTGGTGGAAAAGAGAGGGAGGAGAAGTGGGGAAAATGTCACGCGATCCGATGCTCAAACTTTCATGAGCATCGATCGTCGACTCGCGTGACTCTCGAAATACCACCGCTCGCAATTCCACTTTTTATTTTCGACCCACCTTGGCCCTTGCTAATTTCTCGCCAATTAATATCGCGCTACAACCCTCTGGTATAACTGAACGACACACCAGACGACGCGTGTCCCTCGACAACTTCCAACCCTCTTGCGCTCGAGTCGCGACCCCGAATCATCGTGAATCATTGACGAAAGCATCCTCAGGCCAGACGATCCACCCATTCCCATCCCTTTCCCCCAAATCCTCCCGATTTCCTCGTCCCTCGACGAGACGAAAACCGCAGGGCTGCCATTGTCCGCGGGAGAGTCTACCCTCTCGTGCGGGATGCGCCAGTTTTCGAGAGGGGGGAGGACGCGACATTAATTATTCCCCGGCTCGTTACCGCGTTTCTGGCCGGCTCCGCTGTTAATCTGCTTTTCCTCGCTCGAAAATGGACTGGCGAAAAAAATGCGCAAAAAGCTCGCCCGAATATATATATGTTCGTCCCGGGTTTTCAACGGATGGCCCGATGATGACCCAGTTTTCAGGTGTCTCCCCTGTTCCACCACTCACCTCGACGCGCAGTTTCGCGTTCTGCGGCGTGCGGTCGGCCGCGTTCTGACTTTGGCACGTGAACGTCGTGTTGTCGTGGTCCTTGCGCGGCATCACCCTCAGCACGGATTTCACGGTGTACAAAGGGCCGTCGTCGAACAGTTCCTTGGTCGTTTTTATGCCTCTGTGCAGCACGTTCCCAAGCCCGTCGATCCACGTGATCTGCAATCAGACGATGATTAATGTAATTTGGCGACGAGAGGGTCCTTTGCCTTTGTAGCAGTTATACATTTGACGGACGGGCGGATATTTTAACGAATTCTAGATCGAATCGAATCGAGTCGAATCGTGGGGAGATGTAATAATGACGAATGACGGGGAAGAAATATGACGCGTCGGTGATATAGCGAAGCTGAAAAAAATTGCCGGTTCGATTCTCAAAACCAAAAATTTCTCTACGGGATACCGGGTCGTAAAAAATACGATGTGACGTAACTTGTAAAGCGATAGAAAAAAAAAAAAAGAAAAAAAGAGAAAAACGTACGAGAGACTCGTTCATTCATTCATACCGAGGCACCGATTTTTTAATCATTCGACACTTTTCTTTCACCGTAAATCATCCCTATTCACCTTTACTCGAACGACATACCAAAACTTGAAGAATCTCGTCGAGTACTACGTACATTATTCACCTAATTTAACGCTGACAAACATCCCTCGCCTCGGCCATCCCTGTGTCAACCGCAATTGGTAGCTTCCGTAAAACGATAGTTCGTTGTTTTAAACTGCCACAAACTGTTCGTCCCTCCTCCCTAACCAACAGTTACCACCTACTTTACCGTTCTCGATCATTAATTTAAAGCAGCCGTCTCGTTGCAACGAGACGCCGAGGAAGAGGAGATCCGTCGGATATTCCGTCGGATGGAGGTTATCGAGCCGAGGCGAAGGAAGAAGAATGCGTCAGGAGGACGAAAAGAGAGAGGTGGGAGGGCCATCTCTCTATATCGGAAGTTATTTCATTATAACGGACTTGGCCATATATTTTATTCAATAATTCGGCTGCGATCGATCCTCGCGGTCGGGTTTCTAACGGGACTCTGATCAAGTAGCTGGATCCCTCGAGCTAGCTTCCGGCAACCGCGGTCTTCGTCCGTGGGGTGGGAGAGAGCGGTTCTCGCTTTCCAAACTTTTGAATTTTCCCGGAATTAATTCAGCCTCCAGGCGACTTGATTGAAAATCCCTTCCGCGATCTCGTCTTGAATCGATCCGCGATATAGACACTATCCTCTCGCCTCTTCCCTTCTCCTTTTTTCTTCTTCTTTTTCTCTCCTCTCGTGAGAACACCGTAGCAAGTCTCTTCTTCCTCCTCCTCCTCCTCACGATCGAACGATCTGCCGAATTTATTCGCGGCTCGTGATATCGCGATCGAGTTAGTTGCTCGACGATCACGAAGCGCGAAGATCGATCCAATCGGTTCTAATTAGAAATCTGGGCCAGAGAGAGAGAAAGAGAGAGATCTCGACATCTGCATCGATGTTTCCGGTCGGAAACGCTAGTTTCCCGTAATCGATGCTAATCTCAGATTTCGTGACTGGATTTGTACCTGCTGGCTACTATTCTTGAAATTATGCCATGTATACGACGTATATATATATATATATATATATATATATATATATATATATATATATATATAT